CACCGCAAAGGTGTAAACGATAAATAAACTGCTCGCGGTTCTCACGATCAGTCAACGGCGTACTCGCAATAGTAGCTGTTAGTCACCCATTAGCAGCCAAGTCTGAAGGCAGCAAAGCCAATTAGCCGCGTAGTCGAAACGCAAAACACGTTAACGATGTCATCGCGTAAAACGCGGAACTTCCGTAACTGACCGTAAACCTGAAAACGTCGAAGCTCAAAATTGGTCGTCGACGTGAAAGGCTCGAACGTTATGGCGGGGCCGTAACGATCGTTCCGGATCGTCGGGTGCAGGCGTGTCATCCGTTCGGTAGCCCAGGATTCCCCGGACTTACGACTTCTTCCAGCCGGCCGACGAACTTCCTGCCGCGCGCCGCGACGGATCGATTGATTTCCCCTCGGTCGCGCGCGCGTTCGGAACTCGATCGTCGCGGCGACAATCGCTGGATGAGATCCCGGGGCAAACACCGGCGCGCGTTACGCGGCCGGATCTTAACGTCCGCCGACCTTTGCGCGAGAACAGATTACGACAGCGGAATTAGATCGGCTGGCGTCTTTTGGGCGACGTGATAGATCGCCGGAGTGCAAGACGCTCGCGAGATAGCGGGGTTTACAGCCCCGGATTGTTTCGAAACCGTAGGCAAACAGACGATAACGTATTATCCGAGGAACGGAGAGCGCTGCCCCGATAAAACGCGCCACAAAAGCTGCGTAATCTCGCCGACCCCTCCGGGAACAAGACGTCGCGGGACTTTGTCGGAGACCTCTTCGCACTCGGGGCTAGGGAAATGATACCGATAAAGATTCGCCTCGTCATTTTCGCGCATGCTTCAGCTGGCGGGTGGGAAGTTTATCAAATTCCAATGAACTTCGTGCTCTGAGATCCTCCAGGATTTCTTGCGAATGATTCACGGATCGATTAATGGACGATATCATATGAATCAGAGTCGCTAATCTTCCGATATTATTGCTCGGTATTAAATAGCTTCTGCCTAAGCAAGCGAGACTTTTATATAACAATCCTAGAATCATTAAAAGCAAATAAACAAACCTTTACGCGACGTAACACTCTGATCATCAGGAACTAATACCAGCCTAAAATGATTAATCGTTACTTTGTGTAACGCTTTATTTCTATGGAATCAAACTGGAACGAGGATTGAAATAGAATCCAATCTATCTTCCAAGCTCCACGAACACTCTAAATAATGAGAATAATTATCAATCGCGTCTCCGTCGCAGCAGCTCCCCTAGTTCTCCCCAGAATCGCGTCCGAACGAGTTACCTGTCGCGCAAACCGTTCGCGAAGGAAGAAGCTCAGCGACCCGCGGCAAATATTTACCCAGGCCGGTAAACGATCCGGCTCGAATGTGTTTTCGGAACTACCCGACCGGCCGAAAAAACGCCTCGGGTAAGAAGGTGTTTTACGTTTCCCACCCGCCAACCGGGGGAAAAGGACCTCGGGGATCCGCGCAGTATGGACCGCGGCCGGATCCGCAGCCCGGAGGGCGAGAGAGCGAAAAAAAGCGGGATATTTGAACGCTCGACGAATCGTTCGCAGTCGCGGTGGTTATTTTTTCCGGCGACTCGGAACAATTACGAATGATTGCGGCTGACCGTTCCCGTAAAAGGGGATCGCGCGGCTCGCGTGCCGCAAATTGAAACCGAAAAACGTGACGGGCGTGAAAACGCCAGCCAGGCAGCTGCCGCCGGCCTCTGCGAGCTATCGAATCCGACGGATTCGTTCGACGACTTGTCTCCCAGCGTTTCTGCCCGCTTTTTTTCAGTACCTGTTACCCGTGAAAGCACGAGGAAACGAAAAACTGATTGCCAGTGAAACGATCGCCGGGCATTTCTGGTCAAGTCGCGTTCATCGAACGCTGGGATAATTTTCAATCATTTCCCCGGTACGTTGGATTGCAATTTTTTTATCTCGCGCGGGCAGATGTTTCGCTGGAGTATTTTGCTGAACAATGGCAACTATCGAAAAAGGCATCTTTTGATCCGATGTTTCATACGAATCAGTGTTACTCTAAATAGTTACCTCGCTGTTATAACGTGTTGCTGGGAGATCTTGCGAAACAATGGAAACTGTCGATACGAGGATCTTTAATACAGTGTTTTAACCCATTCGCTGCGTCACGAATATACTCGTAGCAAGAGATTGCCAGTTTGGTACAATCTTGGCTATATTTGAAATGTATAAATTGAAAGTACAAATGAAATCACACATTTCATGCTAGCAGTGAATGGGTTACTAGATTTGTCATTGTTACAAAAGAATAAGGAATATTGTACAGAATGTCTAAAATTCTCATGGCAGTGAACGCGTTAATACAAATCAGCGTTACTCTAAACAGTTATTTCGCTATTATAATATAGTGCAATGTATTACAATGGCATTTGCACTTTCAATGGAAAATTTTCGAGTCCCTTGCGAACGGTTGATAAAAAGCTCCACAAGCTCAGTCATAGAGGATCGTACAAAAGATTAGTATGCTTAAAAACGAATTCTAGCCGTGTCTAGTGCTCTGAAATCTAATAATTCTAACGCAACGATGCATCGCTGCATAATCAAATTATCCTCGGTTATTATCCGACGCGAAACAAAGGAACTTTTAATTCGTGTCTCCAACAATGTTTCATTTTACATGCTTCTGAAAAAAAGCTCGCGGAATTTAATTCGGTTACGAATCGCATGATCATCGCAGAACTCGCTACGGGAAAACAGACAAAGCGGAGGGAATATTATTGAAGCGCGGCGCGCTCGGTCGGTCTGCACTTGCATTTTTTTCACCGGTATTATTTCACGAAAACCGACATGGGGTAAAGGACTCGGAAGAGCGAATTAATTGGAGGAACGCCGTGCCCAAACGCGAATTTATTGAGAGGCCGGCAGAACCTGGCCGCGGGAATATAAAGTTAACATACGCTGGAGGCTCCGCGGCTGCTACCTCTGCAGTTCATCAGAGCTTGGCACAACAAACACCGGGCCCGGTGTCTTCTTTCAAAATTCGCTGACTGCGGCCAACCGTGATTCACCGTCAACGGCGAGAACTGATTTCTTCGCGTACACCCGAAACGAATTCTTCGCGAGGACCGATTAACCCTTTGAACTCTGTAGGCTCCAATATTGCACCAGGAATAATATTAGATATTTCAACCCTTTGACGAATGTCGGCATTTTGCTGAGATCAGACTTCCGTGTTTGGAACACCCAGTTGTGGACAAATGATTTAACTATTCTAACAGCAAGAGATCAGTACGTAGTTTCCTTATTCTCTATGATTTAAGCATTCAGTGTTTAATTCAGCAGAATTTGCGAAAGATTTTTATACTTTCAACAATCTTCGTCCGCAAAGGGTTGAATCTTAAAGAAACTACCCTACAATTATTAGATTTTTCATACATCCAAATTTTGCACCAAGAAGGGAAATAAAGGATCTAAGAAATGTTGTAGTATTTTTCATTTTTGCTAGGGATACTATAAAAATTGCTGATAGATTACAAAACCATAACAACGTGTCAGACTCGTGGTAAAGATCTCTTAATGAAAACTGGAAACTCAAGACCGAGTTTTTATCTAGGAAATTTATTTTAACGCTAGATTTACGGACATTTGTTGTACAGTTTATTCTATTGTTCATAGGAAAATTGATTTTTGCTTAGAACTTGGAGATTAGAGGTTTATAAGTAGACAGAGTGCATATTCGAAATGAATTTTCACCGAGTAACTATTAAATTCCATGGAATTGAAGCGTTTCGCGAAGCTAGCGTGAAATTGAAAGATGATTATTCGCAAATATTTCTATATTATAATGAGTGATACCCATTGCGGCGACATTCAGTTCGATGAACGTGCAACGATAATAATCCAATTCAGTCAAATGGTTTAATATTGTATTTTTTCCATTTTGCGTATTTTGCTCTATGAAATCGTGCGGCGTTCAACGTGTTAATGATCGCTGATTCTTCTATTCCCTTCTATTTTAACCCCTTGCCGTACAACGACGAGTGAGACTCGCGATGAAGATTTCTAAACTAATTTAACCAGAATCAATGTTCATTACCCACGGATCAAAGCAAACAACTATTTTGCTATCAATGTATCATCTTCAAATGAAATTTCCACCTGAAGTAGAATGGAAAATTTTGTTGTATTTCTTACAAATGGTAAAATATTACACGAGCTTAGCAACGAAATAATACGCCAAGTGGTTAAGGAACTCGAGCATTCGAAAAGCTGCCCATTCGATAGATGCGATACACGCGATACACGCGGTTGACACCTACGAAGAAGTGCTCGGCCCAGACAGGTTTCATCGTTAATGCCGGTAAAAATAATTCCTTCGTTGATGAAAGTTTAAAAGCGTCGGAGACTGAAAATTCCGATGTCGATCCGGCGGTTGAGCAGGTTCGAGCTAAATTGCGCGGCGCGAGATGCACGAGCGACCGGGAAACGCGGACGGGGTCGAGGAAGGGCGAAAGGCCCACTTGGAAACAAAGTTCCCAATATTTCATCGAGGCCGGCGTCGCGGGGATTCTAGTTTCGCCGGGGACAGCGGTAACCCGCTGTTCAAGGCCGACCGATAGGTATTCCGTGCCGTTAAAAAATTCACGCGAGGTATCCGGCCGCGTTCCTCCCTCGGCGGCCGGGCATGGACAACGCGTCTCGGAAATTCCCTCGTCATTGTTCCCGCGGAGAACCGGGGCAACCGTGAAATAATGCATCGGTAGCGCTCTTCTTCCCGGCCGTCCTCGACTCCCGCGATTTCTTCCGAAGCAATACACGGGAACGGGATTGCGAACGCCCCCACGGCGAATTTCCCCGGCAATCGATTCGACCCCGAAGATTCCTCGCGATCGATGGATCCCCTGTGACGTTGCACCGGCGGCGCGGTTCGCTTCGAGAACTCGATTCCCAAGATGGCTCCGCCGATTACTCAAAATTTACCCTGACCGCCAGTTTCAACGGAGAAATGGGATTTCCCCTGTTCGCAGACATGGGCTTGCGGCTGATGAAAAGAATCCTGCTGATGGGATTCGTCCTGGCCATCATGCCCGACGCGATTGCTCTTGGATCCGCCGGATCCACTCTGGTCATGTACCAGGACCTTCCTTCCAGGACCTGCAGATACAGCAAGGAGTATTCGATGCTGCAGGTGCGATGCGTGAACCTTAGCCTGGCGGAAGTGCCGGCCAATCTGAAGACTGACATTCAGGTGGGTGCTGTTGGTTTACTCGGCGAGGGAACGATTGATTTTTCTAATTGAAATGGAACAGGTTAATGGTCTTCGGTGGGTAAATGACATCGTGTTGAATGATACAGGGCAGGGAGTCCGGAGTTTGCTCAACCCGTTGGCTTCTAACCTCTTTCGCAGCAAGCTAAATAGTATTTCATTTCGACTGTAATGAAACGAGTGTTGGTATTCATTAAATTCCATTTAAGATCTTCAGTCGGATGTGGTATGAAGCGGTAGGTTGAAAAGCGTAAAGGGGTTAGGAAAAGTTGGACACCGTGGATATGGTCGTTAACACGTTCACACCGGCGCTGTAATTTCCACTCTAACCCATTTGGCGGCTGAATTCTCAAAATTGATGAAAATATTGAAATGATCGATAAGTATATTAATTTTCAACTATACGGCGATGTTTTCTAATTACCAAACCATTTGACGAGCCACAGATTTGATGCTACACGTCTAATCAGTGGCACACACTGTCTAATATATCTTACTGCGAGCCACCGGTGGTACACGCCAGCGTGAACGCGTTAACCCTTTGAACTCTGTAGGTTCCAATATTGCACCAGTTATAATATTACATATTTCAATGAATCTTAAAGAAACTACCCTAAAATTATTCGATTTTGCGCACATCCAAATTTTGCGCTAAGGAAAATAAAAGATCTAAGAAATGTTATAGCATTTTTCATTTTCGCTAGGAATATTATAGAAATTAGTCGCAGTAGCTGATAGATTGCAGAACAATCTGGAGTGCCAAGGGTTAAAGCATGGTCGACGAATCTCAAGAGGCCCGATTCCAATCCCTTGGACAAGACTCGTTTTTCTTAGAGCCCTACAATCATAAAATAAAACAGTTCCAATAAAATGAAAATCAGCATATTCAATTCATTTTATAAATGAAGGAAATAATTCTTCTTACCATTGACATCGGTTAATTCCATCAATTCCAGATCCTGGACTTATCAGTGAACAGAATTCGAGGACTGACCAATCAGAGTCTGGCCCCGTACACCAACCTCGCGTACGTCTACTTGGGCGACAATTTCATCCGGTCGATCCAGGAGGGCGCGTTCAACAACCTTCGTTACCTGGAGGTGTTGGACCTGACGCAAAACGGCTGCGACAACCTGCCGAAGAGCCTGTTCCAGCTACCCCACCTGCGCAAGATGTACCTCGGCGTGAACACGCTGCAAGACGACATGTTCACGCACATGGAGGTTCTGTCCCCGTTGAACTTCCTGCAGCTGTCGGGCAACAGGCTCTGTCGGATCCCGAAGTTAGGCTCCGTCCCCACCATGATGCATCTGAACGTCTCCTACAATTCCATCATGTCGGTCACGCCCGAAGACCTGGCGCCGTTCTGCTATCTGAAGGTGCTCGACCTGTCCAGGAACCCGATCAAGTTCAACGCGACCGCGTGCCAATGCCAGACGCTGAACTCCTGGCTGAAACTGCACGAGATCCGCGTGCTGCCCGAGCTGAATTGCACCGAGGAGGTGAAGAAGGGATGCACGCCCACGACGGTGTTCAGCAACAGGACCAACGAGCTGTTCGACCGATGCGCGGAGATCATGCGGCTGAAGATCCAGACGGAGAGGGTCAGGAACACTTGGATACTGATCGCCTGCTGCATCGGTGGCTTCCTGCTTTGCCTGTTCGTCGGCCTGTTCTGCATTCACAAGCGGAACAAACGCAGGAAGAAGAAGCTGAAGGAGCAGCAGAGGCTGAACGCGAACAACGCGAACACCGAGCTGTTGAACAGCAATTTGAATCAGCCGGAGAACACCTGAACGCTGTCGGGTTCTACAGAGGCCATTGAGAATCGTCAGGTAATCATTATTCTGTCAGTGTAATTTCCATTGAAACAGTCGTTCCATCCTGGTGTACACCTTAGTGATCTCATTGTCACTTGTAATGTCTTTACCACTGCGTGTAAGCCCGAGGTCTAAGGAACGCTTTTCAATTGTAGGTGCAGAGCGGGCCCCTTTCAAGCGAGCTTGTTTCCAATGAACTTTTCCGGAAGACATCTTGATGCATTTACGAGGAAGAGGAAAAGGAAGAGAAAGAGAGAGAGAGGAGGGAATGAGGAAACGAGTAGTTGGAGAAAATAAAGTTGATGTTATTCTTCGGATTATATTGAAAATGACTATCGCAGCCGCGGATTACGATTATGGGCCAGCTTCAGCGGCGATTTCACGGATTCAGCCGTCGGCCCTCCTCTTAAGCAGCTCTTCTCGGTGTTCGATACTCGTTTCAACAGCGTCACTCGCGATCCTCGGATTCTTCGAAATCGTTACTCGGAGATTGTACTGTAATTCGATTCGATCGTACGGAACCGTTGCGCGCCGTTCGGTCAGTCCCGAGCGTCTCCGCGTGCCCATAATGCTCGTTCCGACTTCGATTCGTACAACGCGCCGTTGCGAAAATCACGTTCGCGAAACCCGACGGATCTTTAATTGCAATTACACGCGAGTTTACCGCCGGGGAAATTGTAACACGCCGCGTTTAATTGCAATTAGACTCGTCAGATCGGCGCGCGTATTAGCGTCGCCGCTCACCGCGCGCGAGCGACACTCGGCCGAGTTTTTTGCTCGCCGCGAAACCGGAAACGACAAATGAGATTCGACCGAACCCGCGGATCCGCGCGTGCATTTCGATCCAATCCAATTTTCTCGTCGCGTAGCGAAACGGGGTTTCATATTCCAACTTTTTACATTAACGGAACCGTGTTTGTAGATATATACTCTTCTATGTGTATGTATGTATACGTATATACCCATATGTATGTATTATTATATCGTATTTATTTGTATTTAACGACAGAGAGAGTTCTATATATTATATATATATATATATATCACTTGGTTGCGTTCGGTGGGAACGAATCTATATGTTCGTCGGTTACCGAGACCAAGTGGATGTTTTTACCGGGGCAGCGAATCGACTGTAACGCCCTAATATTTTTCCTTTTTCACTCTCTTCTCTCCAAGGGTGCCAAATGCGATTAGTTTATTTAAAAGCTACGTTTCACGACGAGGTTCTATGAATTTTCGTTGAACGCCTGCGCGCCATACGAAGAAATCGACACTGGAAACCCAGGTGAAATTGATGTGACCTTTTGGACGGTTCTTCGAGCATCCTTCGGTGCGCCACCGATCGTTGTCACTTTACCGTTCGCTGGAACGGTACGGTTCTTCGACTAAATATTAATGAATTTTCGACTTATACACGAACATTCCGGATATTGTCTGTCGTTTGCCATTTTCGAAGTATTACGTAGGCGAGTTCAAACTCGAAGCTTTGTGTCCGAGATGCGGAGGCAAACGTTGCATTGGCAGAATAAAGATTCTTCGTATGCGAGTATGCGCGACATGTACTTAAAAACTGTGTTCTAACACTTCTCTCTAATTAATTTTCCTATCTTAGCATTTACTACATATGAAAACGGACCTATATATGTTGTACAAATGATGTTACCGAAAGTTTGATGGATTCCATGAAATAAATCTTAAATCTAGTCGGTGCTTGTTTCACTTAACACCTGAAACCATTTTATTACAACAGACGCGTGTGATATAGTAAGGCAGAATCATTTTTACTAAAAGTTGTTTGAACTATTGACGTTTATTATTTTGTTGTTACTCGCACAATCTGACTTGTTGAATAAAAAAAGCTCAAATACCTTGATTTAACCCCTTGGCCTATGATTTCTTTCTCAACTCTGATCGATACGGCTACTTTGTCAATAATTTATTGGACAAAGAGAAAAATTCTAAGCATATGTTATGCCTATATTTCCTTTTAAGTATAATAGTTGATTACAGAGGAATAATATTTACTTTGAATTCGAATGAACTGAGTAATATATATATTTGTTGAATCATGTTGAAAACCACTACGAGCTCACTCGTAGGGAAAGGAGTTAAACATGCAGAGAATCTAGGAATTTAATTACCCACGCAGGATAAAGCATTTATCCCTTGATAATTTTCTCCATCAGTTTGAACGATTTGCCATGGATGGCACCACCTACGAAAAGAGATTATTAAAAACTCGTATCTTAAATTTAAGATAAAAAACTATTCGGACATTCCTAATGTATACCAATGAAATTTTATAAAAAAGCTAGATTAGCTAAAATTAACATTATAGACGTGAAAATAATTGACAATATTAATACAGTCGATAATGTAGAAAACCCGAGTCTAGAAACAATCAATACCATGGATTTTCTATTTAAATCTTTAGTCACCATACAAAGTAACTCTTCTATGAATAGAATGGTAACAGCCATTCCTGTGTAGACACACTGGTGGCTAATATAAATACGAATGTAATTAAGATTGCGTGCTTCTTTAATCGACAAGAAAACACACTCGAGATACAGAGTTTGCTTTCGTTAGCGCAGGTGGCACAGCGGGCTCGGCATTTCGAACGTGAGAAAAGTATTGCGCTATTCTTTTTTTGAACATTCTAAATGACATCAGATACGAATTTTCACTCAGTCTGTTTGCGAAGTTCTTTATCTCGATGACAATGCTTTTTCGTTGGCTCACTGGTAATCCGATACCTCCGATAAGAAAATCTGACGTCTGCCGTCCACTCAATAGATGCCGTGATGATCGTGAAAACGGCGTGAACGGAACGACGACGATACGAAGAAGGCTCGGTAAAACGCTGAGATTCACCAGTGGGTATATCCGATCTATCGTTGCCGCTGTGCTTGATCACGTGTCGGTTTAAGGTTAACCAATGACACATGCGAGCAGCGGCCAGTTCAGCGCCAGTTGAGTAACGGCCTTCTACTTACCTGGATGTCGCTCGTCATCCCGCGAATTGAGCAATTGGAAAGTAATGGGACATTAACGTGCTGGGAATTAGACGGAACCGTATCTTCCTTCGATTGTAAGTGAAACGAAACGAAACGCCACGCTAGTTTTTCGTCACGCTTTATACACCACGCATCTCTGTCATGTTATCCTACGGACGATTTAGCGATTGAAACTACGATAACCGGGACGCAACACAATAAATAGATTACCCAATTGGCGAAACGTCGAACGCAATTCCATAAATGCCGATGGAAGTGTATTGTCAGTCATGAAAACACTCATCGATCGATTGTCTCGTGCAGCGAGTACATAGAAAATTTGTGTTTTCCAATTATGTAAGCCTGATATTCTTATGGGTATTTTTCTCTCGTCATCATGACACATCTTTCTATGAAATCCGGTGCCGTCCGCCGGCGTCGATAGGCCGCTCGGGGATCGTTCTTTTTTTTTTATCACGTCGTCTTTCGCGACAATAATTACGGATTGATTAAATCTAACGCCGCTTATCGCGAGCACGAATCGATTTCAATATCTGTGATCACGGTTGTTTACATCGTTGATCAGCTTATTATTGAACGGGAATTTTCTGGATCGACTCGATTGAGCTTCCAGAAAATATATAATTACAAGCCAATT